TTTTCCCAGAAGACATGAAATCAATCGTTACTTTAATTACCTTTGTAAAGAAAACAAGTCAAAGCAGCAGTAGACAATATGTACAAAACTATAGAGGCAGCAATAAAAGCGTCAATTTACCAGTAACATCAACGTATTCGCTTTTCTCCTGTCTCAAGATCAAGAGCATTTCGAACAATTCTTTTAGAGAAGGTTTACTTCTCCTAGTCTTTTAGTGGTCCAATTAGAAGCGTGTGATTATCTAGAACACAGGTACCTCCTTCTAAACTGTGTTCTCACGCTCCCACCCGCTGGAGTACCTTCCACGCAGACAGGCAACTTTTTGTTTCTGTTACTTAGAGACGATGCTTCTCTTCTCCCTGGCGTTACGTGCCGCTTTCGATCAACCTACAATCCCGGTCGACTGTTCAGCTTCTGACATTAATTGAGATAAATTTCACCAAATCTAAGATTACATTAATATCAATAAGTTATTTAAACTTCCTGCCAGAATGACATTAGATTTTGAATCTTGAACTGTCGAATTTCAATGTGAATAACATCGTCTATGATTCATGAATTTAAAATAAATTTGTTTATAGATGACTAGCATTGCTGAATTTCTTTCCTTAATGAGAAGTAAAAATTGACATGTCAGGTATGGTAGCAATCAGGTATTGTGCGAACTAACGTAGTACATTTCTTTGTTTACAGCACCATTTTCCAGTAGTGACCTCCAGCAACGACAGACCGACCTTTCTGCACTCTTCCATTCATCTAAAGGAGGTTAGTAAAGAACATTTTAAATAGACAATATAAGTTTCAGAACAAGATCCACAGAAAATACATACATATCATTATCATTCGCCTCAACTCTTGATTGAAAGTCATGTTTGATATGGCAGTGGCACAAGTCTTAATACAACTTTTTTGACGCAGGTATGATCGGCCCTTTGTTCCGCGACGATGAGCTCAGTTTGGCTTCAGGTGATGGAGGTGAGTGGCTGATGTATACCTGTTGTAAAGTATATATGCAAGAGCTCATTTTCATGTGTACTCTAGCTTAGATCTCCCTGCAAAATTATTATGTAACGGATACAACGATATACACGAAATATACACACAAATGTTTATTTACAATTATGATTCAACTTACTTTGACTCTCTTCATCTTATGAAACAGGTTATTTTTACATAAAATTAGTATCAGTAAAAAGTACGATACACCTCTGAATAAATGTGAATGTTGGACGGACCGGACCTGCCGATAATGTTAGGCCTATTTCTAACCTTACCAGTCACGCCTTTTAGCTCATCTTTGCCCCTGGGCGCAATTGTGTGCTCTATCGCCTTGGCTACAACAAAGTAGGATATATAATCGGTATTTAATATCTCTACAGATAAGCGTACCACCGATAGCACAGAAACTGTGGAGAAATTATACAACACTGTATCCTATACCTAATAACATTCACAACATCGATGATTATGGTCATGACTGTAATACATGCCTATCCTGTTTTACCCCCTCCTTGAAATTCCACCTTCCTCCCACGTGTTCTTCACTGCCACTGTCAAGGACTCCGGCAAGGTCGCAGACGTCAACACAAACCACTTGTCTCATGAAGGATCATCAACATATTTTATAAGCCCTGAAGCACGAAAAAATGAATATATCCATAATGACGTTGTATCTCAAATATCTACGCACAATTATCTCGGTTTAAGGCAGGCTTATGTTAGTGGCTGCGTATGTAAATAGGCTACTTAGGTCGTAATTTACCTTGTTTTTTTTACAGCCATTCTCTTTGTATATTTGCCTTCAGTACATGATACGGATAGGGCATTGGACGAAGTAGGATTCCTGGAACTGTAAAATGCATACTAGAAGGGCAAGACAAATCTAGAGTTACCATTCCTTTGAATTCTTACTTTCTGAATCTTGTGCCTGTAATTTAACACAATACACAAATTATAATACAATGTGCAAGCATTCATGTGTCCTCTTTCTCTCCCAAGGTTGCTACTACCAGTTCCAGCACTACGACGAGGGGGACAGGATTATCACCAATGAGCCTTGCCTCAATTGTACTTGCCATAACTCCATGCTCATGTGCTACTTGAAGGTAAGAGGCTGTTCTCCTCAATCTGCCATTACTATTATTAGCTGATAATTTTGGTAGTGTATTGGAAGTCCATGAAAAAAAGACGAAAGACCTGTTCACAGAAATAATCTCAACTGTAAAAGGCATTGGTGGGATAACCTTTCAATCTATAATATATCTCCATTTTAGGTATGTCCATTCAGCAAGCCCATCGGACAAGATTGTACTGTTGAGAAACGACCAGATCAGTGCTGCCCTGTGATCACCTGTCCTCAAGGTATGTTTCGGACATAGTTGTTGTGGTTGTGTGTGTGTGCGTTCACGAGATTTAGAATTACTTCTTGGTTGGATGACTGCTGTAATTTCCTGATATCAAATTTTCATCACGTCATATTATTCCAGTGATAAAGGACCATACACTCCTTTTTTCTATAATTTGCTAGACAAGGATTTTTAATCTTTAATCACTTCATTTTATCATTCACATCTAATTGCGCATTGCCTCTTCTACAGTTCCAGTGAATCTCCAGGTTATGCAGATGACCTCCACAACAACCGCTGCCCCACCTGCACCAACAACTGCACTGGCCCCTTACACCGAACACGGCTGTACCATAGAAGGAAAATACTACCCGGATGGTGCTCAGGTATGGCAGCACTCATAAAATCTTGTCGATCTAACAATTTTTTATAAGTATCGTGGGGATGATATTGGAGTTATTGTGAACACTGGCAATGATGAATTTTTGTAATAATAATGATAACAGAAGTAGATAATGCAGAATACCTAGTATATATTTCAGAAGGCCTTCACATAAGATTTTTCTTTAAGCAGACACTGATTTTTTATAAAAGTAATTGCTAGCGGCAAAATCTGTCATTACAGGTCCCCGGCGTACCAGGAAAGCCATGCGAGTTATGCTATTGTATCAGAAACCACACGGCGTGCGTTATGCAGGAATGTATTCTCATGGTTCATGGTTGTGACCCCATTTTTGAAGATGGAGTTTGTTGCCCAGTTCGATACAAGTGTGGTCAGTATTTATTATTATTTTTTTACTTTTTTATCTATCTGAATCATTATGTCTGCTGGTATAAAAGTCGACATGCTATTATACATAATCTATGTTCAAAATGATATAACAGCTCAGTGTATAAAATGCCTTTCTATCAACTGTTTCTTTCAACTTCATCTTTTGTACTCTCCTGTCTGTTCTTCAATCCAACACAATATTCTTACTTGCTTTTAAAAATCGAATAAGAAAGTATACACAGAATAGAACGAAACATTAGTTATACATTCTATCATCTCCACGCATTTCCTCCCTTTACATTCTTCCGTACACCAGATAGCGCTCCTGCAGCCACAAGGGACCTTCTTTCCCCTGATTCTACGGTAGCCACTTCTTTAAGAAACCCTCTTCTCCTGACCGACTTCAGCCGCCTCTCTAACAATCACTTTTTCTAAAACTAAGACAATATATATATATATATATATATATATATATATATATATATACATATATGAATATATATATACATATATTTATATGTATATATATATATATATACATATATGAATATATATATATACATATATTTATATATATATATATATATATATATATATATATATATATATATATATATATATATGAATATACATATAATAAATATATATATATATATATATATATATATATATATATATATATATATATATGTATATATATATATATATACATATATATATGTATATATATAAATATATATATATATATATATATATATATATATATAAATATATATATATATATATATACATACATATATATATGTATATATATAAATATATATATTTATATATATATATATATATATATATATATATATATGAATATTTATATATATATATACATATATATATAAATATATAAATATATATATATATATATATATATATATATATATATATATATGTATATATATATATATATATATATATATATATATATATATATATATTTATATTTATATATATACACACACACACGTTAATCTGCATGAAAGTAATACCGTTTTTGTTCTTTCTCATTACCATGCTTCCTTTTAAAACCCTGATGTCCATAATAACTGCTGAGCGTGTTCTAACAAGGAATATGGTTTGCAGCTCACGACGAAGAGACAGGACTTGCAACCACGACCATGGTTCCTGCAATCGCCGCCAATGGAAGCGTCATACTTCCAACAACAACCATACAACCGATGCCAGTAGGATGCATGCACAAGGGTGAATTCTATGAAGATGGTGCTCTGATTCCGTCAGAAGATCCATGCGAACACTGCTATTGTATGAAGAGTGATCTGGTTTGCGCCATTCAGGAATGTATGTCTCCCTTGGATGAGATGCAAGAGAGCTGTACTCCTCGACCGGCTCCTCCTGGCCAGTGCTGTCCCGAGGCTTATGATTGCCGTAAGTTTTACCTTCTGTGCATAACTATCTGCATATATATTTTATAAAACACATACAGCAATCACACACAGACACACATAAAAGGCAAATACATATGTAATTGTATATAACTATATACCTATAACTATATATGTGTATATATATATATATATATATATATATATATATATATGTGTGTGTGTGTGTGTGTGTGTGTGTGTGTGTCTGTGTGTGTGTGTGTTTAGCTACTTATATGCACATACACGTACACATACACACACACACATTTATATATCTATAAACATTATCTCCATTTACAAAACCATTTAACTCGGCTCTGAGTTGAGAAAAGAAATATGTAATATCCATCTTCCAACTTTTTAATAATGTTTTTCTTCTTTACAGCTGAACTCCCAGAAATCACTACGATCACGCTTGATTATTCAAGTCTTGCCTCGACTACCGAAAGCGTCACTTCAGACACTGCTGAAATTACTGCAACAGATAGCCCTACTGCTGTAGATGTTGATGAAACGGCAACTGGTATTCCTACTGTGGATGTTGATGAAACGGCAACAGATAGTCCCACTGCTGTAGATGTTGATGAAACGGCAACAGATAGTCCCACTGCTGTAGATGTTGATGAAACGGCAACAGATAGTCCCACTGCTGTAGATGTTGATGAAACGGCAACTGGTGCTCCTGATGTAGATGTTGATGAAACGGCAACAGATAGTCCCACTGCTGTAGATGTTGATGAAACGGCAACTGGTATTCCTACTGTGGATGTTGATGAAACGGCAACAGATAGTCCCACTGTGGATGTTGATGAAACGGCAACAGATAGTCCTACTGCTGTAGATGTTGATGAAACGGCAACTGGTGCTCCTGGTGTAGATGTTGATGAAACGGCAACTGGTGCTCCTGCTGTAGATGTTGATGAAACGGCAACAGATAGTCCTACTGCTGTAGATGTTGATGAAACGGCAACTGGTGCTCCTGATGTAGATGTTGATGAAACGGCAACTGGTATTCCTACTGTGGATGTTGATGAAACGGCAACAGATAGTCCCACTGCTGTAGATGTTGATGAAACGGCAACTGGTGCTCCTGGTGTAGATGTTGATGAAACGGCAACAGATAGTCCTACTGCTGTAGATGTTGATGAAACGGCAACTGGTGCTCCTGATGTAGATGAAACGGCAACAGATAGTCCTACTGCTGTAGACGTTGATGAAACGGCAACTGGTGCTCCTGCTGTAGATGTTGATGAAACGGCAACAGATAGTCCCACTGCTGTAGATGTTGATGAAACGGCAACTGGTGCTCCTGCTGTAGATGTTGATGGAACGGCAACAGATAGTCCTACTGCTGTAGATGTTGATGAAACGGCAACTGGTGCTCCTACTATTGATGATCAAACAATAACAGATACTCCCACCATTGATATTGATGAAACAGCGACTGATGCTCCTACTGTTGAGACTGGTGAAACTTCTGATGCTTCCTCTGTTGAGACTGATGGAACTGCAACTGAAGTTCCTACTATTGATACTGGTATAACCACAGATGCTCCTACTGCAGAGACAGCTACTGTTGCACCAGAAGAAAGCACTATGTGTTATGTCAATGGTACAAGCTACAGCAATAACAGCATTGTCCCTGCATATACCCCTTGTCAAGACAGCTGTCGATGCATTAGTGGTGCTGTTTCCTGTAAACTAGTGGCTTGCCCACCTGCACCACCAGCATTCCTCAGATGCACCTCAGCTCCTGTTGAAGGAGAGTGTTGTCCAAGCCATACATGCCGTAAGTTTATTTCCTTTTTTAATAAAACTGTTAACTGCAATAGCATGAGTCTCATGGATAACCCTCACAGAATTTGATTTTTTTTTTTTTTTTTTTTTTTAATTCTTAACATAACTTATTTACAACTTTACTTTCCAGCACCAGTCAATCCAGATACAACAGAGACCCCTGGATGCATCAGTGATGGTGTTGAATATTATGACGGAGAATACGTGCCTAGTTCTGATCTATGTTCAGACTGCTACTGTCTTGGTGGTGAAGTCATTTGTGCAATCCTTGATTGTCCTCAACCCAAGGAACAAAACTGTACTGCAGTAGAACGACCTTCTGGAAGCTGCTGCCCAACAAAATATGAATGTGGTTAGTATCTATAATTTTGACCTATTCATTTCCAAATTAATAAATATCATTTTTTTACAATATGAAATCAAATATAAGCAATATATGTGAATATCATTTTATTTTCCAGATGAAGTTGATATGCCTGACTCCTTAAGCCAAGTAACAGATGCAGATTCAGAGGGCAAAGTAACTCCATCTTCCACTTTTACTGTTGGTGTGACCGAAAGTCATACAGAAGCTACATCCCAGGCTGGTGAAGATGTGACATCTACAAAGGCCCCAGTGGACGGAGCAGTTGAGGAATCAGTAACACCAGCTAGCACTGATGGGGAAGTTCCTGTGGAAAGCACACTCTCAACTGGTTCCCCAGATGACATGATGACTGGTCCAGTGATAGGACTAGAAACAAGAACAACAGCCCCTGATGACTACAGTGTTCTTACTACACCTATGACAATCATTACTGAGGATGTCTCAACTCAAACAGAAAGCCCTGTTGATCATACTTCTGTTGATATCATAGATGAAACTACTGTCATGTTGACTGATACTGATACAGCAACTACTAGCATTCCTGAGATTGATCTTGCTACTACAGTTATGGAAACGGTAGACAAAACCACTGGTACCCCTGCAGTTGAAGCTACTTCAGAGGTTCCTATTGTTGATGAAACTATCCCAGTAAATGAAACAGCTACTGAATCCCCAGAACTTGAAAGGCCAGTGACTGATGTTCCTATTACTGACAAGCCGGTCACTGATATTCCCACTGTTGCATCAGTTACTGATGTTCCTGAGGATAAGGAACCAGCCACAGAGACACCAGGTGATCAAATAGCCACTGATGTACCTACACTAGGTGAGGTAACAACAGATGTTGATGAGACAGCTACAAGTATTCCTGACACAGATGGAACAGATATGGTTACAGATATCCCTGAGGAGGTTATTTCAACAGTCAGCCTTCCTGATAAAGAAGGTATTCCAGGTGAGGGAAGTTGTATGGCTAATGGAACTACTTATGCAAATGGAGACACAGTGCCAGCCTCAAGGCCATGCCACCAATCATGTACCTGCAAGAACAGTATAGTGTCATGTGAGCTGCAAGCCTGTCCTCCCCCACCTCCAGCATTCTTGCGTTGTGCTCCTGTGGAAGATCCAGAGCAGTGTTGTCCTTCGTATGACTGTCGTAAGTATTGGCTAGATCAAGTGCTTATAGTTCCAATGAATTTCATACATTTCATATACATTAAGATACCATTATTTTACTAGTTTACCATTATTTTACTGCTTAATATTTTTCAGCTACCATAGAACCCGATACCACAGAATACCCAGGATGCTTACGAGATGGAATACAATACATGGAAGGAGAATATGTTCCGAGTGCAGACATTTGTACCGACTGTTATTGTGTCAATGGGGAAATTATTTGTGCAGTCCTCGAGTGCCCAATGCCTGCTGGTGCAAATTGCAAACCAATGTCTAGAGCAACAGACAGTTGTTGTCCTTCAAAATATGAGTGTGGTACGTGGTAGTAAACATATATAATACAACAGAGAATATTTAATACATCTCTTTCAGTAATAAACCTGTGATGTAAATTATCATTTTTGTAACAATTATTCTGTCTTTCTGCAGATGACTTGGAATCAAGCACTGATGCAGTCAATCACACAGCTACCGATGCCCCAGTTGATCAGACATCTACTGATGCCCCAGTTGATCAGACATCTACTGATGCCCCAGTTGAAGTTGACCAGACAGCTACTGATGCCCCAGTTGAAGTTGATGAGACAGCAACTGATGCCCCAGTTGAAGTTGATGAGACAGCTACTGATGCCCCAGTTGAAGTTGATGAGACAGCAACTGATGCCCCAGTTGAAGTTGATCAGACAGCTACTGATGCCCCAGTTGAAGTTGATCAGACAGCTACTGATGCCCCAGTTGAAGTTGATCAGACAGCTACTGATGCCCCAGTTGAAGTTGATCAGACAGCTACTGATGCCCCAGTTGAAGTGATAGACAGCTACTGATGCCCAGTTGAAGTTGATCAGACAGCTACTGATGCCCCAGTTGAAGTTGATCAGACAGCTACTGATGCCCCAGTTGAAGTTGATCAGACAGCTACTGATGCCCCAGTTGAAGTTGATCAGACAGCTACTGATGCCCCAGTTGAAGTTGATCAGACAGCTACTGATGCCCCAGTTGAAGTTGATCAGACAGCTACTGATGCCCCAGTTGAAGTTGATCAGACAGCTACTGATGCCCCAGTTGAAGTTGATCAGACAGCTACTGATGCCCCAGTTGAAGTTGATCAGACAGCTACTGATGCCCCAGTTGAAGTTGATCAGACAGCTACTGATGCCCCAGTTGAAGTTGATCAGACAGCTACTGATGCCCCAGTTGAAGTTGATCAGACAGTAACTGATGCCCCAGTTGAAGTTGATCAGACAGCTACTGATGCCCCAGTTGAAGTTGATAGAGTATTAATACTGATGCCCCAGTTGAAGTTGATGCAGACAGCAACTGATGCCCCAGTTGAAGTTGATGAGACAGCTACTGATGCCCCAGTTGAAGTTGATGAGACAGCTACTGATGCCCCAGTTGAAGTTGATCAGACAGTAACTGATGCCCCAGTTGAAGTTGATCAGACAGCTACTGATGCCCCAGTTGAAGTTGATCAGACAGTAACTGATGCCCCAGTTGAAGTTGATGAGACAGCTACTGATGCCCCAGTTGAAGTTGATGAGACAGCTACTGATGCCCCAGTTGAAGTTGATGAGACAGCTACTGATGCCCCAGTTGAAGTTGATCAGACAGTAACTGATGCCCCAGTTGAAGTTGATGAGACAGCTACTGATGCCCCAGTTGAAGTTGATGAGACAGCTACTGATGCCCCAGTTGAAGTTGATGAGACAGCTACTGATGCCCCAGTTGAAGTTGATGAGACAGCTACTGATGCCCCAGTTGAAGTTGATGAGACAGCTACTGATGCCCCAGTTGAAGTTGATGAGACAGCTACTGATGCCCCAGTTGAAGTTGATGAGACAGCTACTGATGCCCCAGTTGAAGTTGATGAGACAGCTACTGATGCCCCAGTTGAAGTTGATCAGACAGTAACTGATGCCCCAGTTGAAGTTGATGAGACAGCTACTGATGCCCCAGTTGAAGTTGATGAGACAGCTACTGATGCCCCAGTTGAAGTTGATCAGACAGCTACTGATGCCCCAGTTGAAGTTGATGAGACAGCTACTGATGCCCCAGTTGAAGTTGATGAGACAGCTACTGATGCCCCAGTTGAAGTTGATCAGACAGCTACTGATGCCCCAGTTGAAGTTGATCAGACAGCTACTGATGCCCCAGTTGAAGTTGATGAGACAGCTACTGATGCCCCAGTTGAAGTTGATCAGACAGCTACTGATGCCCCAGTTGAAGTTGATGAGACAGCTACTGATGCCCCAGTTGAAGTTGATCAGACAGCTACTGATGCCCCAGTTGAAGTTGATCAGACAGCTACTGATGCCCCAGTTGAAGTTGATCAGACAGTAACTGATGCCCCAGTTGAAGTTGATGAGACAGCTACTGATGCCCCAGTTGAAGTTGATCAGACAGTAACTGATGCCCCAGTTGAAGTTGATGAGACAGCTACTGATGCCCCAGTTGAAGTTGATCAGACAGTAACTGATGCCCCAGTTGAAGTTGATGAGACAGCTACTGATGCCCCAGTTGAAGTTGATGAGACAGCTACTGATGCCCCAGTTGAAGTTGATCAGACAGCTACTGATGCCCCAGTTGAAGTTGATCAGACAGCTACTGATGCCCCAGTTGAAGTTGATGAGACAGCTACTGATGCCCCAGTTGAAGTTGATCAGACAGCTACTGATGCCCCAGTTGAAGTTGATCAGACAGCTACTGATGCCCCAGTTGAAGTTGATCAGACAGCTACTGATGCCCCAGTTGAAGTTGATCAGACAGTACTGATGCCCCAGTTGAAGTTGATGAGACAGCTACTGATGCCCCAGTTGAAGTTGATCAGACAGTACTGATGCCCCAGTTGAAGTTGATGAGACAGCTACTGATGCCCCAGTTGAAGTTGATGAGACAGCTACTGATGCCCCAGTTGAAGTTGATCAGACAGCTACTGATGCCCCAGTTGAAGTTGATGAGACAGCTACTGATGCCCCAGTTGAAGTTGATCAGACAGCTACTGATGCCCCAGTTGAAGTTGATGAGACAGCTACTGATGCCCCAGTTGAAGTTGATGAGACAGCTACTGATGCCCCAGTTGAAGTTGATGAGACAGCTACTGATGCCCCAGTTGAAGTTGATCAGACAGCTACTGATGCCCCAGTTGAAGTTGATCAGACAGCTACTGATGCCCCAGTTGAAGTTGATCAGACAGTAACTGATGCCCCAGTTGAAGTTGATCCAGACAGCTACTGATGCCCCAGTTGAAGTTGATCAGACAGCTACTGATGCCCCAGTTGAAGTTGATGAGACAGCTACTGATGCCCCAGTTGAAGTTGATCAGACAGCTAACTGATGCCCCAGTTGAAGTTGATCAGACAGCTACTGATGCCCCAGTTGAAGTTGATCAGACAGCTACTGATGCCCCAGTTGAAGTTGATCAGACAGCTACTGATGCCCCAGTTGAAGTTGATCAGACAGCTACTGATGCCCCAGTTGAAGTTGATCAGACAGCTACTGATGCCCCAGTTGAAGTTGATCAGACAGCTACTGATGCCCCAGTTGAAGTTGATCAGACAGCTACTGATGCCCCAGTTGAAGTTGATGAGACAGCTACTGATGCCCCAGTTGAAGTTGATCAGACAGTAACTGATGCCCCAGTTGAAGTTGATGAGACAGCTACTGATGCCCCAGTTGAAGTTGATGAGACAGCTACTGATGCTCCAGTTGAAGTTGATCAGACAGTAACTGATGCCCCAGTTGAAGTTGATCAGACAGCTACTGATGCCCCAGTTGAAGTTGATCAGACAGCTACTGATGCCCCAGTTGAAGTTGATCAGACAGTAACTGATGCCCCAGTTGAAGTTGATCAGACAGCTACTGATGCCCCAGTTGAAGTTGATCAGACAGCTACTGATGCCCCAGTTGAAGTTGATCAGACAGCTACTGATGCCCCAGTTGATCAGACAGCTACTGATGCCCCAGTTGAAGTTGATGAGACAGCTACTGATGCCCCAGTTGAAGTTGATCAGACAGCTACTGATGCCCCAGTTGTTTCCATTACAACAGAAAGTGATAAGGAAGGAGCTGTTGATTTGCCAGAGAACTGTGTGGTTCAAGGTTCAATGTATTATGATGGTTCCATTGTTCCTGCATCTTCTGCATGCCAGGAAAATTGCAGATGTACCAATGGAACTGTTATGTGTGAACGTCCATCCTGCCCCCCTGCACCTCCTACTTTCCTCAGGTGTTCTCCCATCCCTCCTGAAGATAGTTGCTGTCCAACATATGATTGTCGTAAGTTACCAGCATTGTATTTTTGTCTTCTTTTATGTGTTAATCTGGAAAAAAATATGAAGAAATCTGTGTTCATGTGTGTTTAATACATATGATAATTTTCATTCCAGCTCCCATCGTAGACCCTACAGTCACGGAGGCACCTCAATGTGAAAAAGATGGTTCCGTATACAATGATGGTGATTATGTACCTAGCCCGAGCGAATGTACAGACTGTTATTGTCTAGGAGGCGAAATTATTTGTGCCTATTTGGAATGTGTTGCACCTGGAGATAATTGTACACCTGTTTCACAGTTGAATAACTCTTGTTGCCCCGACAAATATGAATGTGGTAAGTAGAACTTAATTTTTCACTTGGATCACTGTTATAGATGTCTGTGAAGTATCTAATGCAAATGCAGAGTTTACTGTGTGTTAGCTCTGAACACAATTTCCAAATGCAATTCTTAATCAATTTGACTTTTTAATTCCAGCTGATGTGCCTGATAGCTTAGTGTCTACAACTATCTCACCTGTTGAAGCTTCTGCTACAGATATAGCCAATGGAACTAGCCAAAGTACTGTAATACCTGAGATGATTTCTACTATCAGCACTGTGGCCCCAGAGACTGAATTCAAACCATCAAGTACCATCCCATCTGTTGCTACTGGCGAGCCAGAAACTGAGTATACTAATGCCCCAGTTACCACAAGTCCTGAGGGTATTGAGATCTCCTTCCCCACAGACAGGGTAACCACTGATGTTGATGCAGTCAGTTCTGTCATTACAGAGGCTTCCATTGCTACAGATGGGTTAGAAACCGAGTCACCTGGCATCACTATCTCCTCCTTTGTAACTGAAGCAACATCTGTGGGTGTAGTATCAGATGTAACTGAACCATCTGTAACCCCAAGTGTTACCAGTACTTCAAGCTTAGATAATACTTCCACCACAGAATCAGTTCCCAGCTCTGGTGAACCTATGCTAACTGAAGCTTCAGTTGCCACTGAAGAACCAGAGACTGAAGCTACAATTGGCATTATTGTTGATATTACAAGTTCCCCTGCAGTTGCGTCTTCATCAGTCACAAGTGTTACAGAAGAACCATCAGCCACAGAATCAGCCCTTACAGAACCCACTGATTCTGGCTATGCCACTGAGGCAACTATTTCTGTGACAGAATCTACCTCTGTTACTGATGCTGATGTACAAATAAGTACAGAGAAGCCTGGAGTTACTGACAGCATTGAAGGTCAAGTGACGACTAAATCAACAGAATCTACTTCAGAATACCCAGGGTCTTCTGAAACAACTTCACTAGAGATTCCAGTTTCAACAGAAGTATCATCACAAACTGCATCAGAAGTACCAACAGAAGTAACAGATATTCCAGTTTCCACAGAATTATCTGCGGTTTCAACATCAACAGATGCCCAAGTTGATGAGACATCTACTGATGCCCCAGTTGAAGTTGGTCAGACAGCTACTGATGCCCCAGTTGAAGTTGGTCAGACAGCTACTGATGCCCCAGTTAATCAGACATCTACTGATGCCCCAATTGAAGTTGATCAGACATTTACTGATGCCCCAGTTGAAGTTGGTCAGACATCTCCTGATGTCCCAGTTGAAGTTGGTCAGACAGCTACTGATGCCCCAGTTAATCAGACATCTACTGATGCCCCAATTGAAGTTGATCAGACATCTACTTATGCCCCAGTTGAAGTTGGTCAGACAGCTACTGATGCCCCAGTTAATCAGACATCTACTGATGCCCCAGTTGAAGTTGATCAGACATTTACTGTGTCACCTGAAGCCCCATTCCCCCCCTTCCCTGGTACAACATCTTCTGTCTTCCCTAAGCCAGAAACCACCACCTGGAAACCAACAACTACCACTGAGCTCATTATTGGCCCAGGAGCTTGTGTCTTTGACGGTGAAGTATACCTCTCTGCACAACAAATCCCACGAGATGACCCATGTGACTTTTGTTTCTGCTTCCGTGGAGACATCATCTGCTTGCAACAGTCATGTCCTCCACCCATCCCTGGGTGTTATGAAGAAGCAATTCCTGGGTTCTGCTGCCCTCGTTATGAATGTCCAGTTACTCAGGCAGTGGTTAATATTACTACTACTACCACACCTATTCCTACTTATCCACCTGTCCAGAAGGTGGAAGAGTTCACTGTGTGCGAAATTGGTGGTCGTTTCTACCATCCTGGTGAGCTCGTAGAAGAAGCCTCCGGACCTTGTCTTGAGTGCAGGTAATATCAATTTAAAATAATTCAGTGTATCTTTTAAACATCTGATTAAATGTTTTCTTTATAATTAAAGACAATATTAAAGAAAAGTTTGTAATAGGAGACATGATATATGATGAACATTTCAAATATAGTATGTATATGTACTTACACTATGCTAAATCCAACAGGTGCGGAAAGGACGGCATGATGGAATGCGAGCCCCGTGAGTGCCGGGCAGAACCTATACTTCGTAAAATCTTGGACACAAACGCCAAATTAATATAATCGGTGAAGTCCCTACATCGAAGTGGCTTCCCGCTCTCATGTCTACTACATTCACCCTATCCACGAGCGGTGACTCAGGATTCACTCTGAAACACGTCGCTTGTGCTTCCTTGCTTGGCTCTGTGTCTTTATACACTGAGTATGGGAAATGGCATTAAACCAATATGTCGCATGGTTAATATGACGTTGTTTCCAAAGGAGTGAATGTGCCCAGTTTCTATCATAAGTAATTCCCATTTCTTTGATCCCTTCCTGTAGCACTTAGGGTAGCTCTCCGTGACCATAACGCTCAAACAGCAAGTCTGTGTTAATAAAGAGAA